GATATTTTCTACCATATTACATACAGAACACAGGAAAAGCATCTTCATTCACCAAGCCTCGTTATTGTCCTCTTCTGCACTGCAAGCAGGTGCTCCCGGCTGGCAGAGGACTGCAGAGCTCCTGTATAAGGCTAGGCCAGGGCTCACCACAGGGTATGGTTGGGCCCTGAAGCCATGATGGGGCGTTGGAAAAAGGCTGGGGGCAAAACACTGCACAGCAGTGAGGAGTGGGGAAAAATGTGTGAGAAACAGCCCTGCAAGGGGTGAGGAGAAGGAGAGGAGAAGGTGCAGCAGGTACCATTTCTGTGTAGCCTCAAAGGAGGTGATCAGACTTCACCCATTCATTTAATGGACTATCCCCCTAGTTCTTTACAGTATCTAATAGATGTATTATACACTACATCATGTAGTGTGCTTAATTGCACAGCTAGAAAATAAGTAAGTCGTGCATGGATGCTATGGGCTAGGATTGGTCTTACAGGGAAAGGTTTTTATAGTACTGGGGCTACTCTGCAAGAAAAGTCCAGAAGCTGCCCCATGTCATATGGGAGTCACCTCCAGCACCTGCAGAAGGGACCCACCACTGGTCAAAGCTGAGCAATGCTGGGTGTGCCTTTGGGAGAGCGGATATAAGGAACTGAAAAACTGCTGTGCTGTGCAGAGAAGAGTGAGGAATGTGAGAGAACAGCCCTGCAGGCACCAAGGTCAGTGCAGAAGGAGGGCAGGAGAATCTCCAGGCATGCAGCAGCAGCTCCCTGCAGCCCAGGAGAAGCTCACAAAGGAGCAGGCTGTCCCATTGCAGCCCATGGGTACCGCATGGAGCAGATCTGCCCGTGCAGCCACAGAGGAGCCCGTGGAGCAGCAGTGGATGAGGCCTGAAGGAGGCACAGCCTCGAGGGTACCTCTGGCCCAGGCCAGAACTGTCGCCTGTAAAGATCTGTGTGGAGCAGTGCCTGAAGGGTGGGCCCCATGGTACGGAGCCATGTTAGAGCAGTGCTGTGAGAGCTGCAGCCTGAAGGAGATGCATGCAGGATCAGTTCAGGAAAGACAGCACCCATGGGAGGGAAACACGTGGAACAGGGGCAGTGACCATGGAGGAGCAGCAGAGATGAAGGACTCTGGACTGACTGCGGACCCCATTCCTCATTCACTTGCACTGCTCGGGAGGAGAAGATAGAAGAGGATGGATGGGGGGGAATTTTAGTTTGCCTATGGTTCTCATTGCTTTTGTCTGTTAGTAATAGGCAATAAATTATCTGCCTATGCTGAGTCTGCTTTGCTTATGACAGTAATTGGTGAGTGATGTCCCTGTTCTTATATAAACCCATGAGCTTTTGGGAGAAGAACTCATTGAGAGCAGCCCTTCAGAGAAGGGCTTGGGGATTCTATTAAAAGAAAAGCAGGACATGAGCCAGCAGGCTGCATCAAAATGGAATAAGGAATGGCCAGCAGGGAGAGAGAGGGGTTTGCCCCCCTCTGCTCTGCCCTCTTGAAGCCCCCCTGTAGCACTGCAGCCTGGGGAGCCCCAGCACAGGAAGGATGTAGATCTGTTGGTGTGGGTCTAGAAACACAAAGATGATCAGAGGGCTGGAGAACCTCCGTTATGAAGAAAAGCTGAGGGAGTTCAGGCCTGGAGAAGAGAAGGCTATGGGGAGACCTAATTGTCACTTTCCGGTACTATAAAGGGAGCTTACAAGCAAGAGGGGGACATTCTTTTTACATTGGCAGATAGTGATAGGACAAGGGGGAATGGCTTTAAATTAAAAGAGGGGAGAGATTTAGATGGATCCTAGGAAAAGCTTTTTTACTTGGTGGTGAGGTGCTCGCACTGTTACCCAGAGAAGCTATGGATACCCCATCCCTGGAGGCATTCAAGGCCAGGTTGGATAGGGCCCTGGGCAGCTGAGCTGGTGTGTGGCAGCTCAGCTCATTCTATGAGCAAGCTATTCTAAGATTATGTGTTATTTTCCCTTCCCATTCTTTTGAGAAGGGGGAATGAGAGAGCATGGTGGAGATAAGCTACATACTGGTGTGAGACCCCCACCAGGTTAGAGAGAACAACACTGTGGAAGAAGAGATCTACAGTGCCGCAGCTGTCAGTGCCTGTGCCGCCCTGCCATGTGTGCAGGGCCAGAAATGTTTAAAAAATGTAATTCCCTTCACTATATTTCACACTGACATCTTAAACTGCATTAAGAGGCCTCTACAAACGTTTCGAATCATTATGCTATCAGACTTTTGATTTGCTGGGCCACTGAGGGGAATCCTGAAAACATTCAATAATGCCAACATTTAAGTACATAATGGTAATTTGGAAGAACAAAATGTTTGTTTTATCAATACATTATCAAGCATGACCATGAATCATGCAAATCAAATCATAGATCACAAAGTGCAAGCTATGCTCGTCTACCCTGCAATATGTCATGCACATAATTTAACATATTTAGTCTAACTTGGATATGCAGCAGAAACAATATAAACTCCTTCACTGTTCAGTGTTGAAAAATCTGAAATAGGGAGTGATATGTAAAGTATGTTTTTCATAGCAAGACTGCCAAATGCTACAGAAATGAACATCCTATGCAAACCAGCTGTTTGTGGAGGTTTGTAACTCACCATGGCAGCTGGGGAGTGAGTTCAAACCTGTTTTACCTTCCTCAGTCTTATATATAATATATTCAGTAGATTTAATATTTGCTACTCATCTTAATTATCTTATAGCTATGCCTGTAGGATGAGTTTGGAAGAAAATGATTTTAGAAAAGACAGTTCTGAAGAAATGTTTGTATGAAGTTGGAATGAAAATACCCCAACTGTGAATAATGAACACGCATTGTCTCAGATGCTTTCAGCCTAGAAGCGTGTGTTATTCTATTTTTTAACAGACATTGTGAAAACCTGAGTAAGACTGTATTCAGTTGACACCCTTTGTAAGAGGTAATGACAGATGTCAAATAAATGCTTAGTGGTAATGAAACTGACATCCACTATCAACAGACATGACTCCCAAACAAGAGCTACAGACTTGTTAAAGTCTTTAAACACTCAACAGTCAAAAAAAATATACTCTTCCTAAAAGCCACTCTGTTCCTATTAAAACTACACAGCCTCTTGAAAAACTGCAGTTAATCCCAAAAGTTGAAGGTTGGCTCTTGAAATTTAAAGGACATCAGTGAGTGGTATGAAGGAGGCATAAAGGTAAAAGTTTTTGGCTCCTGATTCTTCATTCAGTTAAAAATGATCATTTTCTGCAATGACTTTGTTTACAAGTGCAGACTGAATATAGATGCTATTTAACTAAAAAAACTGGAGTGGTGAGGTATTCACAGAAACATCTAAATCCTTCCAAATTCTTTTAAGAAATTCTTTTCTTAACTATTGCATTTGCATTATTCAGTACAGGAATTGACAGATTTTCCTTTGCACATACTCAGCATTACCAAGCAACCTTTTAATATCAGGTCAAATCTTAAAACTGAAGCAAGTATTTTTTCAATTATTTTTTCCCTAGGATATTTGAAATAAAACCTTATTCAGATACGTGATAGAGACAGTACTAACAAGAATTAATTTTACTGCAACATATGTTTTTGACAGGGACTATAGAGAAACAAAAATTTATCTTACCTTCTAGCTAAGGCACAAGAGACTTGTGACATCAAGGCAACAATTTTCATATAGCCCTACAGGTGATTTGCCTTCAGTGTAGTTGTTGAGAATACAGTAATATAAATGCAACAGGCAGCAAAGTTTAAATCTTGGTAAATAATAGGAAAAGCCATCAGAGTTTTATCATAGATACTGGGTCTGTGAACCACACAACTCTGCTGTGATTTCCTATTAATGTGTATTCTACTTCTTCATTTAGGAGCCCTTTCCATAAAAATTAATGATGCTGTACTTTCTTGAATCAGTAGGAGTTCAAGTATCTTATAAAGGAAACATATAGATAGGATAATTAGCTAGGAAATTATACTTTAAATGTTATCTCTCTACAGCGACCATTAGCATTCCAAATAATCCAGTAATTTCTCCTCTATTTATTTTAATGGAATTTGTAGTGCCTTCCACAGTCATGAGCAAGTAAACATGCTCCGTTCTTCCTGCATTGCTCAGTCTGTATTAAATATCTTATTCATGCATATCTTATCTGGAAGGATATCTTGCTGTGCAGAATTAACTTCCTCATTGTAGAAAACAGCACCTGAGTTCCAACTGGGATGGAGAGGCCAGTAGATGTTACTGTTTCAGAGGTATGGCTCCTTCACAGAGCAGGAGGGCGGAATAGAGTTAACACCTTATGCCTTTAAAAACTTAGCTAAAACAAAACAAAACATCCCACATGCCTGACTATGTCTCTACTAAACACAAGAAATTGCCAGTAGAAAGTATAGAATCACTGAATCATGAATGGCTTGGGTTGGAAGAGACTTCAAGGATCATCAAGTTCCAATCTCCCCTGCTACAGACAGGGCTGCCAGTTGCTAGATCAAGTACTAGATCAGATTTCCCAGGGCCCCATCCAATCTGGCCTTAAACACCTACAGGGACAGGGCACCCACACTCAATCCCGTCATCTATGCCATTGATGAAGTTAAGGAGTACCAGTCCCAAGACCGACCCCTAGGGGACACTGCTCATCACCAGCCTGCACTTGTATGCCAGTTCAGAATCATTGACCAACCCTGTGGCTCTCACCTTTCAACCAATTTCTTATCCACCGAATGGTCCACCCTTCAAATCCATACCTCTCCCATTTAGAGATAAGGGTATGGTGGGGGATCATATAAAAGGACTTGCACAAGTCCTTCCACAAGATAAATAACATCAGTTGCCTTCTCTTTGTCCATTGATTGCTTTTAAAATGTATTACAAAATACCGTAGTAAAAGAGCTCTTTGTTTTCATGCATAACAATTGGATATTTTTAATATGTTAACTGCTATTACAGTCAACACAGTTTGAGCATGGCTGAAAGCAAAAGTAAACACAAAGTAATCAATGCACAATAATCTTTTATTTATTCCCCTCTTTTCACTTAGAATCACAGAATGTTTTGGATTGAACCTTTTACTGATACCTTTCTCTTTCTTTGAGAATGCTGGTCATGTTTCACATTCTACAGCACAAAATAACTTGAGATTTGTGATTTGCCCTGTTTAAAAAGCTAAGCATTCTCTGGGAATACAATTTCTTCCTGGCCAGCCCAGCTATATTTTTGTGTTTTTATAACATTTAAAATATGAATATACAAATCAGAAGTTTCTATTTAATGCTGGAAAAGTACAAGCTCCATACTCTGAGTCTGTACACATGGACACCATAAATGGAGTATTATCATTTTACTGTTTCAGCTCCATCCCATATAAAATCATAGAATATCATAAAATGTAATGGACCCACAAAGATCATTGAGTCCAATTTCTTGATATAATGGAAAATACAGAGATTTCTACTTTGGGTTGCCATTTCCCCACAGTCCAAGTAACAACCATTAGTTTGAACCTGTTAAGACAAGGAAGAGGGAAGCAAACTACAAGAGGTGCCTATAGCCTCACACAAATGAAATTGATGAGTGTGTTGTGATATTTTGATACAGTTACCTTCTGCAAGACTTCATTTCCCTTTAGGAGATGAAGGACAAAGCCTCCTGCTTGCAGATGCTTATCTTTTGCGACATTAAATGTCATCAAAAGTTACAGTCTTTGTACCCTGCAGCAGAAGGGGCAGCCCCTTTCCCTGAAACCTCTGCCAAGATGTAGCTCATATTGAACGTTGCCTGCTCTTGACATCTTATCTCCAGTTTGAAACATGTTTGGTTGTATCTAGAGCCAGCTTTGCAATGGCCTTTTAAAAAAATCTATGTCCCTCAAGGCTGAGCGAGCCCCTTCTGTTCACTCACATCCAAGATAATACAAACAGCAAAGGCTGCGGCAAGAAAGCATCAGAGATCTCCACCTCCACATCCAAGTATCTCACACTTATTCAATAAACACAGCACTGAAGGACATCAGCAGATATGGGCAGCTTCTCTTCTTCCTTTAAAGAATTAGGTAGGTCTTCAGCTCTCCCTTTAACATCCAGCCCAAAACAGAGAAGCCCAAAACAGGAGTTTCTATACAGTTATGTCCTAGCCTGGATTAAAAAGCAGGACCCTATAGGGCTGCTTCATTCTTCTGAAACCTTGTAGACCATGTTCCAAGAAAGTGGACCAAGGTGTAGTCTTAGAGCTCACATAAAAGGTCAGTGCTGGTTATGGGTAACTGGAAGATTAAGGGGGCAGATTTAAATGCAGAAGAGCTTAATTTGCTGAAACAACTTAGGGGACAAGCCTAACTCACACAAAGGGCACAGTTTACCAGAGATCTAAAAAAAGTAGAAACAATGAAGAGTGAGATACCCACTGCGAGACTCTCTCATGTTATGCTGTAATGTATCTTCTTGGTTTTATCAGTCCAAAATGGGGTTCCCACCTGGAGAACTGATTCCCTTTCAGTGGACATCAAGCCCTTACAAAGAGCCCCAGGTTGACAGATGGCACTCTTGGATTTTCACTTCAAGGATGTCAGAACAAATCACGGCAAACTCAGCAGGCAACAGGGCAGTCCTGGCAGTGAAAGACAGATGTGTCTCACAGACACATAATATTTGAGAGAGTAAAGTTACCAAAAAGACAACAGAGCACTGTATAATCTTTCTATATTAAAAGTCTAGCCTCAGAGCTTCTAGGACTTGATTTATGGGATTTATGGCTTTGAGCCTTTGGATTGCTGAAGCATTCAGTATCAAGTGATTCACTGTTGTACTATTCACCACACATCAAGAGAAGCTGTTGCATAAATGCTCTATAACTCAGTCTAGAGGACAACTGAAGTCCCAAAACATCCACTGCAGGAGATGGATACACAACCATAAAACATTCCCCAAAAGATATGAAAGAAGAGTAGGGGCAGAATTCTTAACATACATATATGGCTATATAGAATATTTTCAACTTACTCTTCCAAATAAATATATTTAAATCTTCTATTTAAAAACTATTTTCTTTCTGAAATGTTCTTAGTTCTAGATATTTAAGTAAACAACTGATTTTCTTTATAGGAGTTTTTATCTTAGTATGAAACTTTCACACTTAAACAGTGATCAACTAGAGATCCTACTAATAAATATTATTGTGCTTATTTGCAACATTCCTTGTTTATGCAAAGGGACTAAGTGGGATATATCAGGTGTTAAAAGTAGGTTGAGAAATAAAATGAAGTTACCAAATAAGCATTTAGTGAGGCCTTACACATTAAATACAGGAAGTACTGTTTTGTTTCTGCATCTCATTTGAGAGGGAGGGTAGGTATTTTATTCCACTTCTCAGTCTTCACAGATTTTCTTTTAACACAAAGCCCATTTTTACACCAGAGTAGGTACCCCAACAGAGTTGTTAGTCATCAATTTGAAATCACTTTACAGTTTCTCCTTATCCCTTTCCTGTCAGTTTCTGTTGTCTACACAGACTCTTCCTACACAAATGGCTTACAGAGTTTTCTTGTTCTTGTTTTACCCAAAGGTGATCTGCAGTTTCTGGCAGACTGATGAAGGAAGGCAAGCTAGTATACACCAGTCCCGGCTCAAAAATAATCCAAGTATAGTTTTAAAGCTGCTAGCCTGAGAGGAGACACAACAGCACTTTATGATTTCTCCAGTGGAAAAACTAGCTCAACATCTATGCAGTTTCTGCACTTCCAGATTTGCTGATTCAACTGTCTGCAAAGGCAGACTCTAATCAGATCAATGAGCAGGAAGCAAGACTAGGAAAAGTCTGTACTTGCGTACTTTAAATTACTTGAAGGCTTCAGAAAGAAACCTGGATGCAAAGTGAGAACCTCAGCTTTAAAATTCAGTTCTTAATGCATGATACAATGATCTCCAGTCCTTAAATTCATTATTTAATCAAGGACAGTGTGTCAGATGTGTCATTTCTTAAAAGAAAATAAGCAGAAAACAGAGACAATAGAAATCTGTTAAAACAATATCCACTTAGTACTAGATAGACAAGGCCATCTGAAAAACAATAAATAAGAAATATTTTAAGTTATTAGAATGGCATCACTACTGCAAAAGTAAAAGTAGCCTTTTAATATTAGTGAAGAAGAAATGGATAAAAGAGAAAATATGCCTGAGGAGAAAGAGATGAGCAAAGCTAATTAGTCAGGAACTCCACTGGCACATCACAGAGCTTCTACCAAGTTTATCTTCATGACAACTTTGTGAAGTAACACCTTCATTTCACAGATGAAGGACCAAATCTCAGAGGAAATACACGCCTGAACCAGCTGCTAAACTCATATCTCACCATCCTTCCAAAATAAACTGGAAAATATCTTTTGAAATTATTTCAGACAGTAGATGGTATGAAAGAGGGAAAAAAGGAGGCAAGAGAGACAATACTGAGAGTTCCTCATCAGAGTCACAATTATCACTGATCTTCCCTTATATTTAAAACTTAACTCTTTGACACTTTGGTGACAGCACTGCTATCTATTCTAAAGAGGGGTACATGCCTGTAGTGACTATCTAGATGTAGTCCCTTTTATTCAGGGAGTGCACAGTCTGTACAGTCTCATTGGTGTGTTGAAGTTATACCTAACTTCTGTTCTCTTCAAAATTACTCCCAAACCCAGAAAGTGACTCCTATGGTACACCAGCTTTCTAGCAGACCCTTCAAAACTGGGGGACTTTCTATATAAGCAGTGCAACAGAACAAAAGCAGATCTGTAGGTGGAAACGACTAGTGCTAAGAAGCCAACATCCACTCTTTACATATCTCAGTGATCTTAAGTTGGACTGTACCTTTAAACAACAGAACAGTTATTCACAGCCACAACACTTTATATTCACTCCTGAAGATTGCATTCAAATACAATCCAGCAGTTGCTTTGAGTATATTCCACTATGCATGTCATGACCCTGACGCAGTTAAGGGAACCACCTTGCTGTTTCCTTAAAAGCAGGCTCATGCTACAAAAGCGAGACAATCTTCTATAAGCCGTAGTACAGAGCCTTTTTCTGTCTCCAGTTCATGGCTGCGTCCCACACAAAACCCCGAGTTCCCGATCTTGTGCAGCTTGATGTCTGGCTGAGCAATACAAGCATGCAGCTGAGAGATGGGAACTTGGGCATTCTGATCTTCAGGCTATCATTGATCCTCTCTGGCTGCAAGACAAATTCAGAGCAGGAAAACGTGTTTACCTACAACACACATGATGATGCAGATTGGCTAGAATATATCATCAGACTTGGGCTTCCATGGCATACAAATTATTCCTTAGGGAAACAAGAGACTTGCCTACAAGAACAGAAAGAAACTCGCCTGGAATCAAGATGGAACAAAGTATCCCATTCTCAGAACAGACACCCCTGTGGCCTTACACATTTATAAAACACATTCAGTCTGTTCTCATTACAGCCACACATCATTGTTATCTAAGTGAAGGGGCTGCTGCAAAGACTGCTTTTGTGCCACAGTTCAAAGATAAAATTGGCTAAGTATTCATTAAAGCTTCCAGGAATGCAGAGAGTTACCTTAGCAATTTCCTTTTCACTCATGCAGACAATATCCTATGTAATGCCTCTAAGGACAAATCACAGCTGTCATTTCAAAGTTAACATCTTCGACTATTAAATCTCTAATTCAGTTTATTATTTTAAAGACTTACCTTCTAGTCATTTAGACAGGCCGTGCAGAGCACTGGGAGCCATTCCAAATTAGAAATGAAATTAGAATCTAAGTCTGTAGGAGAAATCTCAGCACACTTCCCGATCAGCAGGCATCCTGCCTTCCAGTTCTGCTCCCTCAATCCAAAAGACCTAGGAAAGGAAAGGACCTGAGTATACTCTGTGATACTTACTGTATCTCTCTAATCCAAAATTGTCTGACTTCCAATAAGTTGTGGATTCAACAATAAATGCTCTTGACCAAAAATAGTTCAGTGTTCAATTACCAAGCGCTTTTTTCCCATACTGAGGATTCCATTTTGCTGAATGCTCCGAACAAGAAGATGAGCAGGAAAGTGACAGTCTCCTGGTGATACAAAAGTATTCAAGATAGTCAAAAAACAACTGCAAGAAGTTGTGAAGAATCTCATTCTATTGGATTTCTGGGAGATAAAAGGGCAGACAGAGTTCAGTGGTGGTAAGAGCAAAGTATTGCACATGAGAAAAATATTTATTGATAGAAAAAGATGAATTCTAAATTATTACTATGACTCAGGAATAGAAGTTTTGGAGTAAATTGAAAACCGTACCTCCCCACTCAGCAGTGAGCAAGAATATTTTAGGAACTGTTAGATAAGGGAACAGAAAACTTATTTATGCCATCAAGAAAAGAAATGCATCCACTTCCCAGAAACTAGTCACAGTTGCCATCAATAAGCAAATAGTCAATAATAGAGAGAAAGGTTGAAGAGTGCTGTGAATAGGACAACTTTCACACAAAAAGAGATGACTAGAAATTATATGAAATATTTTGTAAAATCTCTGCTAACCTGTTAGTACTACCAGCCCTTGACAGGTGGACTATGCTGTAACCATAAAACCCTTCAAAGCTAATTAAACATGACTACGTAATAGGATTATGAGGCATAATTATTAATATTATAGAAAAAAAAAAATCCACTAAACTGAAATTAAGGGATGCTCCAAAAAAATAAGTGTTAATCCAACAGAGAGAACAGACTTCCTAATTTTCTCTCCACTACACATTTATATAAAGAACTCTATATAAAGACTCTGTCTCAAAGTCAGATAAACAGGTCCTTTCAAACTGCTTCCCAAAACTCAGCTGTCTTGGTTGACATCTCCTGTTATAGGACTGGCTTCATTTAGATCTAACTATTTCATTTTAACACCCACGAATGTCCTTGTAACTATTAACTCTTAAAACCCTACCTGCTGGGGATCCATACCTCAGCAAATAACATCACCACAGTCAGAGATGAGTTTGGATTCAAACACTAAATAAAGGAGAGTTTTAAGGATTGTTAGGGAAGCTTCCTTCGAAGGAAAAATGGATGTTATGTTTGCTGAAAACGAGAGGATTTAAAACCTAATGTTAAAATATTGTATATTACTTCAAGAGACCATTGAATCATAGAATTATGGACTAGTTTTGTCCTACCATGTAAAGTCAGACCACGTAATATGTCACTCTGTATTTTTATAAGCTCCCTTCAAGTGTGAGATCTCCCTGGAGCCTTCACTTCTCCAGGCTGAACAAGCCCAATTCCCTCAACCTTTCTTCATAAGAAAGGTGCTCCAGCCCTCTGAGCATCTTAGTGGCCCTCCTCTGGATCTGCACCAACTGCAGAGGGGGCCTTACAAGGGCTGTGTATCAAGCTACACTGTATTGTACTTGAAGCCATTCATGGTAATTATTTCCACATACTGCTTGCACAGTTCCGACTATCACAATGTTCATTTCTTCCTAATAAGAAAACTTTTCAAGTTTTCAGTTTATTCACAGTGCAGAAACAGGTCTTTGTCACAAAGTATGGAACTGCAGACATAAGAGGAAACTGAATGTCACTGAATGCTATCAAAGTAACACATCTTGCTTCTGGGGCTCTACAAGAGAAGAAAAAATCCATTTCTGTCAGACTACTGAACTGAGCTTTTCCTACAGACAGCAGCCTTTTCAGAGCAGACCTCATAAAGATTATGTTAATAAAATACTGTGTTTTATTTTGTGTAAAATTGAAGAACATTAAATTTGAAGACCAAAAGCATAAACTTCATAGTTTATGGAGGAACATGAACTTGTTAAAATAGTTTTTGGGCAAACATTAATTGACCCTTCCTGGGTACAACATTGAAGTCAGCAAGGCATTTCCTTGTCTGGTAACCTTTAGATTTAAATTGAAGAGAAAAAGTCTCTGAAGGACATTCAAGATGATAAAATTTGTTTCAGGACGGGCTTTTAATTTTGATCTGGAAAGCATGCAAAGATAAGCAGCACAGTGAAGAGCATTTAGAATGATCCTGGGGAGGAGATCCTTCGTAAGGGATTCTGCATCCTAGGAGATGCAGGAAGTGTCAGGAAGAAGCATAGATGCATCTCAGCCACCAGAGGAAGAGATTCTGCCAGTTGACATGTAGTTTTCTAGCCAAAATCACATTGAAAATTTGAAAATTAAAAGTCAGTTTTGATTTTGAGGTTGGAATTTTCTTCCTGTTCTCCACTCTACCGAGGGCTGAATGAAGAATTCTGGCATCTTAGGCACTCAGCTAGTGTGCTAAATTATATTTGCACTTGGCAAATATTAAATAGTGTTAATCTTCCCAGAAATTGTCAAACATTGAGCAATAAATTACAACTACAGACTATTATTATTGCATTTGTTTTTCTTTCTTTATCACATCCAATCATTCACCTCCACAGCCAATTCTTTTCAAGCATTATGTTTCTAATACCAGAAACAAGGGTTACACATTATCTGGAAAACTCTCATATTGCTAAGAGACTTAGAAAGAGCTTGCTACTAGAACTGAGTTAGCATATAAATGGTAAGTACTCTGATGAGAGGCATGCAAGACAATATAAATTAATATACTTTCTGGAATCAAGGTCTTCATAAGGAAATACTTACCAAACAAAACACAATTTACAGAAGTTTTAAGACATAGTGAAAGTATAGAAGCTCACCATGATGGTGTCAATATGTGGTGGTGAGAAGGTTATTATAAATATTTTTAGTACTCAGAGAACATAGTAATTTAAACATAAAAAACACTGGTGCTTGTGTTTTTTATAAAAGAGCCAGACTGTTACACATGGAACATGCATATGGAACTGTGTAATATTTCTGTTTCTTTATAACTTATAAACTATTTGATAGCCTTTTGCATAAAAGTAGTTCAATTTTTTTTAACAACCCTGTTAAAATTCATTCTTTTGAAAAAAACAGTGGTGTAATGAGAATTGCCTGTATTGTTTGGAACAGAAGAGAATTAGAAGCCCCAGGTTCAGTGGTCCAAAAATGGCAGAACAGTGATTCAATGTGATGTTAAAATCATAAAGAAATAAAATCTAATGCTGAGAATTTAACCATAAAATATTAACAAATTCAGGGTTGGCGCTGTTGTGACAGGCGCAGTAACACAGAATTTTAAAATATATAATAATTTAATTGACTTTAGTTTGAAAGTAATCCACCAGAACAGAATCTTAACAGGTTGCATAAAATTTTTATAATTCATACAATATTGCCATAGTTTATCACCCCAATTAGCTATGTATTTCTGCCAGTGATGAACAAGAGCCTGCACATCACGCTCACAACAGTCTGCATAGCCATCCAGAATGTGGCTTGTCTTTCATGTCACTGTCACCAAGGCTGAAACACACTATCCACCTCCACTGTTTTCACATTCACTGTTTGGTGTCCATAAATGCTCTGCAAGTACCAGCAAATGTCAATAGATGACATTTTTTCCACATGAAAGAATTCAGTGACACACATTTGCTTCAAATGAACTTCAGTGTCAGGTGCCATTTAAGCAGACTGCCCCTCTGCTGCCATCTGTCACACAAGAACAAAACAGAACAGGATATTGGCAGAAAGATTTAATCTCTACTGATATCATTAGGTACGGGAACTGTTAGGTCAGGATTTGAACTGATGATTGAGCACCTGGTGAAGAGGTATGGCTGGCCCAAGGAGCACAGGCACACTGTTTGCACCTGTGCTCTCCATGTGCTCAGAAGAGGTGGACCCACTCTGGGCTCGTACAAGGGCAGCCGCTGAAGGGAGGGCATCTGTTGGGCCTGGGCTGCTTCCTTAGGAGTGCTGTATGGCCAGCAGAACCTCTTCACCAACTGGGTGAGTTCAGTTCTTCTTTCTGTGTATGACTACTGGCCCATCTGTGAATACTTCACCTGGTATTGCCAGGAACCTGTCAGAAGAAATTTTGCTTCTTCATCAGCAAATGCACCATCCAATTTCATTGGCCAATATAATAAAGCAGGAGGCATTACATTTTAGGGCAGCCCTAGTATTGTGTTTGGCCTCCCTTCAGTACTATCTCTGTACTAATCTTTTGTCTCTATGTGATTCTAGACCTTTCTTATCAGTGTGCCTATCTAATTTGAGCTCTGGGATGGCTACGTCATTTCCAAATAAAGGAAAGGGAGTGCTAAGCCAGTTAGAAAACACAAGAGAATGATGAGTACATGGAGAGAGTGTTGTTCTATAAAATATGAATTCAGAATTGTACTGTCAACAATGTTTCCAAAATAGTGAATTATGCTTCAATATACATGCAAATAAATGGTCCAAAGCACTCGAAAATAACTATCTGAACTTGTATATCATGGAAATGGAGTAATCAAGACAACTGAGTAATAAAGTTGCATTTTTTTGCTTTATCCATAATACATCACTTTGGTTGAATATGACATTTTGTTGTAACTTCAGACTGTAACTTCAGAAGCATCAAGATTTAGATTAAAAAACATATAGCCATAAATCTATCAGCATAAGTCAAATAGAATAATTCTGATTTCCTAATGGAACTTCAGTGAACAGCTATGTAACGTAAGCAAGATTAACAATCTATTTCATAGAAAAGCCATTAAGATCTCAATCTTGTAAAGATTTCTATTGACAAATTCATTGGAGATTTAACTGTACTTGACTCCAGCCCTCTTTAGCTCTCCTTCATCATCAAATGAGAAACCTCATGTAATAGCTATTCAGCCAGCAGCTGCAGAGATTCTTTTCATCTTTAATGTTCTTAGTTCTCTACATCTCTTCACTGACATGCACTTCTTTTTTGCTGCTTCTGTTGTCTGTGGTTTCAATGGAGGTGGATTTCACCACCTGTTCTTCATTGTATTTAGCATCAAAAGTAGATTACTGCCCATGCAGCTGATTCTCAGAACTTTTACTGTCCTGTTAGAGGAACATTCTACAAATATTCATTTATTGCCTCTCAGGTCTCTCTAAAGTTGTTCACCACGAAGCTGTGTCTTTATATAATGTTGTCAAAAACTTGTAAAGGAGTCAACAGCATCTATTACTACCATTATTGTTTTGAGCAATTAGTAGTTTTTCCTGGTTAGCTTATTATGTACTCCCTCTATCCATCCTCTCATTT